ATTCCATTGGTCAACGTCTCTGTTTTTATGCCAATACCAAGCTGTTTTCATTAGTGTAGCTCTGTAATAGTTTGATGTCAGGGATGGTAATGCCTCCGGCAGTTCCTTTATTGTACAGGATTGTTTTATTTATTTATTATGTATACAATATTCTGTCTGTGTGTCTACCTGCAGGCCAGAAGAGGGCATCAGACCGCATTTCAGATGGTTGTGAGCCACCATGTGGTTGCTGGGAATTGAACTCAGGACCTTTGGAAGAGCAGGCAATGCTCTTAACCACTGAGCCATCTCTCCAGCCCCTACAGGATTATTTTAGCTATTATGGGTTTCTTGTTTTTTTTTTTTTTTTTTTTTTTTTTTTTTTTTTTATCTGAAGTTGAGTATCCTTCTTTCAAGGTCTGTGAAGAATTGTGCTGGGATTTTGATGGGGATTGCATTGAATCTATAGATTGCCTTTGGTAAGATTGCTATTTTTACTATGTTGATCCTTCCTATCCAAGAGCATGGGAGAGCTTTCCATTTTCTGGAAATTTCTTTCTTCAAAGACATAAAGTTCTAGTCAAATATGTCTTTCACGTCCTTTGTTAGTGTTACACCTAGGTATTTTATGTGATTTGTGGCTATTGTGAAAGGTGATGTTTCTCTGATTTCCCTCTCAGCTTCTTTATCCTTTGTGTATAGGAGAGCTAATGATTTTTTTGAGTTGATCTTTTATCTTTTATCCTGGCACTTCACTGAAGATATTTATCAGCTGTAGGAGTTCTCTGGTAGAGTTTTTGGGCTTACTGATATACACTATTATATCATCTGCAAATAATGAAAGTTTAACTTCTTCCTTTCCGATTTGAATTCCCTTGATCTCCTTATTTTGCCTTATTGCTATTGCTAAAACTTCAAGAACTGTATTGAAGAGATATGGAGAGAGCCTTGTCTTGTTCCTGTTTTTAGTGGAATAGCTTTGAGTTTCTCTCCATTTAATTTGATGTTAGTTGTCGGCTTGCTATATATTGCTTTTATTATATTTAGATATGATCCTTGTATCCCTAATCTCTCCAAGACCTTTATCATAAAGGGGTTTCGAATTTTGTCAAATGCTTTTTCTGCAGCCAACGAAATGATCATGTTTTTTTTTCTTTCAGTTTATTTATATGATGGATTACATTGATTTTCGTATGTTGAACCAGCCCTGCATCTCTGGAATGAAGCCTACTTTGATCATAATGGGTGATTTTCTTTGATGTGTTCTTGAATTTGGTTTGCCAGAATTTTATTGAGAATTTTTGAATCCATGTTCATGAGTGAGATTGGTCTGTAATTCTCTTTCTTGGTTGAGTCTTTGTGCAATTTTGGTATCAAGGTAACTGTAGCTTCTTAAAAAGAGTTTGGCAGTGTGAAACACATTAAGGAGTATAGGTATTAGCTCTTCTTGGAAGTTCTGGTAGAATTCAGCACTAAAACCATTCAGCCCTGGGCTGTTTTTGGTTGGAAGGTTTTTTGATAGGAGCTTCTATCTCCTTGTGGTATATAGGTCTATTTAAGTTGCTTACCTGGTCTTGATTTAATTTTGGTAGGTGGTATCTATCTAAAAAATTGTTCATTTCTTTTACATTTTCCAGTTTTGTGGAGTACAGATTTTTGTAGTAGGACCTAATGATTCTCTGAATTTCCTCAGTGTCCATTATTGTATCCCCCTTTTCATTTCTGATTTTGTTAATTTGGATGTTCTCTCTCTGCCTTTTGATTAGTTTGGATAAGGGTTTGTCAATCTTGTTGATTTTCTCCAGGAACCAGCTTTTTGTTTCCTGGATTCTTTGGATTGTTTTCTGTGTTTCTATTTTGTTGATTTCAGCCCTCAACTTGAATATTTTCTGTCTTCTTGTGCTTTTGGGTAAGTCTGCTTTTTTTTTTTTTTTCTAGAGCTTTTAGGAATGCCGTTAGGTCATTGATGTGAGCTTTCTCCATTTTTCTTATGTGGGCACTTAGTACTATGAACCTCTTAGCACTGCTTTCATAGTGTCTCATAGGTTTGGGTATGTTGTGTCTTCGTTTTCTTTCTTTCTTTTTTTTTTTTTTTGCTTTTTCAAGACAGGGTTTCTCTGTGGTTTTGGATTTTGGAGCCTGTCCTGGAACTAGCTCTTGTAGACCAGGCTGGTCTCGAACTCACAGAGATCCGCCTGCCTCTGCCTCTCGAGTACTGGGATTAAAGATGTGCGCCACCACCGCCCGGTGTGTCTTCACTTTCATTGAATTCAAGGAAGATTTTAATTTCTTTATTTCTTTTTCGACCCAGGAGTGGTTCACTAGTTGACTGTTCAATTTCCATGAGTTTGTAGTCTTTCTGAAAGTAGTATTATTGTTGAATTCTAACTTTATTCCATGGTGATTTGATAAGACACAGTGGATTACTTCGATATTTTTTTGTATCTGTGGGTGTTTGCTTTGTTACCAAGAATGTGATCAATTTTAGAGAAGGTTCCATGAGATGTTGAGAAGAAAGTATATTCTTTTTTGTTTGGGTGGAATGTTCTATTGATGTCTGTTAAGTCCGTTTGATTCATTACATATGTTAGTTCTCTTATTTCTCTGTTAAGTTTCTGTCTGTTTGACCTGTCCATTGTCGAGAGAAGAGTGTTGAAATCTCCTACTATTAGTGTGTGGGGTTTGATGTGCCATTTAAGTTTCAGTAATGTTTCATTTACATATGTGGGTGCTCTTGAATTAGAGACATAGATATTCAGGATTGAGACTTCATCTTGTTATGAGTATAAAATGTCCTTCTCCATCTCTTCTGATTGATTTTAGGTTGAAATCAGTTTTGTTAGCTATTAGGTTAGCCACATCTGCTTGTTTCTTAGGTCCGTTTGATTGGAAAACCTATTCTCAACCCTTTACTCTGAGGTAGTGTCTGTCTTTGAGGTTGGGGTGTGTTTCTTGTAAACAGCAGAATGCTGGATCCTGTTTTCGTATCTATTCTCTTTGCCAGTGTCTTTTTATAGGTGAATTGAGTCCATTGATATTAAGTGATATTAATGACCAGTGGTTGTTAACTCTGGTTATCTTTTGGTAGTAGTGTTTGTGTGTTTCCCTTCTTTGGGTTATGTAGAAGGAGCTGCAGGCAGGCCTGCTTTTCATCCCGCTTGACTCCTGCTTGGCTAGCTTAGCCCCAGAAATAATAACACGGAAACTGTATTCATTTAAATACTGTCTGGCCCATTATTTCTAGCCTCTTTTGGCTAACTCTCACATCTTGATTAACCCATTTCTAATAATCTGTGTTGCACCACGAAGTGGCGGCTTACCGGGAAGATTCTAACCACCATCTGTCTTGGGTAGGAGAAGCATGGCATCTGCCTCACTGCCTTCTTCCTCACAGCATTCTGTTCTGTCTTCCTGACCTACCTATGTTCTGACCTATCAGGCCAAGCAGTTTTCTTTATTAATTAACTAATGAAAGCAACAGATAGATAGAAGACCCTCCTATATCAGGGTTATGCTGGTGGGAGGGGTTATCAGATGGCTGAGTTATTGTGGGTATAGTTAGCTTCCTTGGGTCATGGCTTTCCTTCTAGTACTTTCTGTAAGGCTGGGTTTGTGTATACGTATTGTTTAAATCTGTTTTTGTCATTGAATATCTTGTTTTCTCCATCAGTGGTGAATGAAAGCTTTGCTAGGTACAGTATTCTGGGCTTGCATCCGTGGTATCTTAGTGTCTGCAGCACATCTATCCAGGACCTTCTGGCTTTCATGGTTTCCACTGAGAAGCCAGGTATAATTCTAATAGGTTTTCCTTTATATGTTACTTGACCTTTTTCTTTTGCAGCTCTTAGTATTCTTTCTTTGTTCTGTATGTTTTGTGTTTTGATTATTATGTGGTAAGGGGATTTTTTTTTTTATCCAGTTTATTTGGTGTTCTCTAAGCTTCTTGTACCTTTTTAGGTTGGGAAAGTTTTCTTCTATAATTTTGTTGAATATATTTTCTGTGCCTTTGAGCTGGAATTCTTCTTTTACCCCTATTATTCTCAGGTTTGGTCTTTTCATGGTGTCTCAGATTTTCTGAATGTTTTGTGTTAAGAATTTGTTGGGTTTAGTGTTTTCTTTGTCCACGGAGTTTATTTCCTCAATAGAATCTTCAGTGCCTGAGATTCCTTCTTCAATCTCTTGTATTCTGTTAGTTATACTTGTCTCTGTAGGTCCTGTTCATTTACCCAGATTTTCCATTTCCAGAGTTCCCTCGGTTTATGTTTTCTTTATTACCTCTATTTCAATCTTCAAATCTTGAACTGTTTCCTTCACCTGTTTTATTGCTTTTTCTTGGTTTTCTTTGATTTCTTTGAGGGATTTATTCATTTCTTCCAGCTTTTTGTTTATCTTCTCCTCTGTTTCTTTAAGGGAGTTTTTCACTTCTTCTTTAAGGGTCTTCATCATTTTCATTAAGTAATGTTTAAAGTCGTTTTTTTCTATATCTTCTGGGGTAGGATGATCAAGTCTTCCTGTTTTGTGTCCGCTGGGTTCTGGTGGTACCATGTTGCTTTTTAGGATGTTGGAGGAGTTCTTCTTGGATTGGCGCCTTCCCATTTCTTCCTTCAAGTCTTATGTCTCTTATGTCCACCAAGAATTGGTCTCCAGGGAGTTAGCAGGGATGGATGCTTTGGGGGCGGGGTAGATGGCTGTCTAGCAGACTAGCTCCCTGCTGATGCTCCTATGTCTACCCAGTATTGGGCTCCATGGAGCTCGCAGGGAACAACGCTTTGGGGGTGGGGTAGATGGCTGTCTAGCAGATCAGCTTCCTGTTGGTGCTCCTATGTCCACCAAGTATTGGTCTGCAAGAAGCCAGCAGGGAAGGACCTGTTGGGGCGGGGTAGATGGCTGTTTAGTAGAACAGCTCCCTGCTGGTGCTAGGAATGCCTAAGGCACCTGGGGAGGGGGGGGGCCTGGCCTTTCTCCCATGTCTAGGTTTTAGGGAGTAGGCGTCTGGGATCCCAGGGCCACTATTGTCTCACCTTCTGTGTTCACCAAGTACTGGTCTATATGGCGCTCGCAGGGAATGACGTGTTCTTTTGATGGTTTTAATAGTTTTGTGGTAAATGTATTTAACATCAGCTCATCCAGATGCATTTTGTATTGTTGGCTTCCTTTTGATATCAGCAGATGTCCATTTTAAAGCTTCCTAAATAGAGTGAAATGATAGCTATATTGATGTTTAGATGTATCCAGATCCAAGTATGCATACGACTTTTTAAGAAGGAAGAGTTATTTTTGTAAAGCAACTGGAATACACATGACTCTCTGAGGGTTTATAGTAGAACAAATTATATAGAAAAAAAGATAAATAGCTTCATAGAGCAAAGGCGTCTTTAGTTTTATCTCATAAGGCCAACCAGTTCCATTCCTAGCTGTTGCTGAGGCTGGGGAGGAAAAAAAAAGCCCAAAGATTTGCAGGAATAACCCTAAACTGAAATAAATAACTCATTTAACAAAAATGTCAACAAAAATTAATGAGCTGATTATAACACTGTGGAGCTATCTCAGATTCACAGTATTTATTTGACTTTTAGAAGATACAAAAGACTGCTTTTGTAATTACCTCTATGTAAAACACTAGAAAAGATGAATCCGTAATTAGAAGCAACCAATTAGTGGTTACCTAGGGCTATGGTTGGGAATTGTCTGAGGAAGGGATGTTAAAAACCTTGTATGTTGTGATTATAGTGTTGTTTGTGAAGTTTGACATGTTCACCAAAACACAGTTGAAACTCTCATGAAATGGGTACATACCTCAGTTAATGGGGGGGGGAGCATTTTATGTAAAAACTTTGATAGTGTCTAAGAGGAAGGATTTTCATAATTTTCATTTTTAAGTTCATAGTCTACAAGAATCTTAAATTGTAGCAACACCCACTTCCTTTGCACCACTTCCTTTCCTGAGCATGCAGGGACTTACTTAAACACTCTTGTGTTCTATGGTATTTTGTACCTCTTTCCCCTCTAGCACTTTGCAGATTTAACAGTATTTTGTTTCTTACACTTTCTGTGGGACCTTTTGTAAAAAGAGGAGGAGCCCCTCCTTCCCTTGCTCCTCCTGTGTTCTAATAATTTATGTTAACATATACCTAAGTCAGTAGCTTAGAACTCAAAGCAATCCATAAAACAGTCTGATCTTTCTAAAATCTGCATTTATTGTGTGTGTGTGTGCATCTGCGCCATGACACACATGTAAAGATCAGAGGATAACTTTCAAGAGTTTGTTCTTTAAAACAAACAAACAAAAAAAAAAGTCAGGTATTTGGCTAAAGAGATGGCTTAATGGTTAAGAGCACTGGCTGCTCCTCCAGAGGACCTGGGTTTGATTTCCAGCACCTACATGGCAATTCCCAATGCCTCTAACTCCAATTCCAGGGCTTCTGTGGGTACCAGGCACACACATGGTACACAAGCATCCATGCAGACAAAATACCCTTATACATGAAATTAACAATTTAAAAAATTATCTTTTTAATTGCAGAAAGTCAGTTCTTGCCTCCTGCCTTTTGCTGAGGCAATGTCTGCCTTGTTTCTTTTGTACTCAGTATTCCATGTTAGCTGGCCCACAAGTTTTCAATTTTTTTTTTCTGCCTTTTCCTCCCATTTTACAGTCAAAGTGCTGGGATTACAGGTATATACCACTACCTCCAGCTTTTTATGTGAGTTCCTGGAATGGAAGTCTGTTCAACACGTTTGGGACAGGGCTTCTCTGTGTAACAGCCTTGACTGGCCAGAACTCACTTTGTAGACCAGTTTGGCCTTGGACTCAGATCCACCAGTTTCTACCTCCCTGAGTACAGGGATTAAAGGTGTTCTCCACCACGCCCAGTTTTACTGGCAGGTTTGTTTACCCAGTAAACCAGTAGTTTTCAACCTTCATAGTGCTGCGACCCTTTAATATAGTTCCTCATGTTGTGGTGACCCCCAACCATAAAATTATTTTCATTGCTACTTTGTAACTGTAATTTTGCTACTGTTGTGAATAGTAATATAAATGTAAATATTTGCCAAAGTGGTTGCTACCCACAGGTTGAGAACCACTGCTTTCAACCATGTTACCAGCAGCCCCTTCCTGCCCCTGGTCACCACCAATGTCTTTTAACTCTTGTCTACACCTGACGGTTACTTTAAGATAAAACCACACTGCATTTTTAACATTTGAAATGAGATGGACAGCAGTAGGGGCTGTCCATGCAGGTACTGTTGGAACTGAACTGACAGTGGTGGTCTCGCCTGTGCTATTGAAGAGGATAAGTGGGTGAGTGGCAAGAGGAGGAAAAGAAAAGGTATGTATATAAAAAGTAGAATAATCAGGGTTTAGATGATTAATTTGGCTAAGGAAGAGAAGACTTAAAGAAAATTTGCTGTAAGGACCAAGAGAATATTAAGAGGAAAGGGGAGACAAGTCAGGAGTACTAATAGAAGACTTCATAGGTGAGCAGAGGAAAATGTCTGTGGCTCTTGAGGGATGTGTGTAATGAGTCTTGTTGGACTTTCTTTGCACTGCCAGCCCCTAAGTAATAACTTGGAGACTTATTATTAATTACAAAACTTGGCCTTAGCTTAGGCGTGTCTCACTAGCTCTTATAAGTTAAATTAACCCATTTCTATTAATCTCTTCACCTCTCCTCCTTCTGTACATCTGACTCCCCTGGTGTCTCATTGACTAAGGCTGTGTGCCTAGATTCATCATCCCGAGTTGTTCTCTCTGCCCGGAAGTCCCGCATAAACTCTCCTTCCTAGCAATTGGCCATTCAGCTTTTTATTAAACCAGTCACAGCCATACATCTTCACACAGTGTACAAATATCACAAAATAGCAATCAGTGATCTAGTTGAAGTCATACTGTATAAAGAAGGTAGGAAAGTAATTAAGGAAACTGTGAGAGGAAATGGGTAGTAAGTAATTAACAGTCACTTTTTTTGAACTGATAGGACATTTCACCATCAGCCTACTCAGAATTAAAATTGTGTTTTCTCTCATATTTTAAACTCTTTTATATGACTGCTGTTCTTTCAGACTTTAGTTATTAATATTTTAATACTTAGACTTTGTATTTAGATAATTTTGTAAACTTGTTATACTAATATTTAGTTCAACATATGCAGTTCAACATATTTTGTGGGTATTACATATACCCACAGATAAATTTCAGCCTTAAATATTGAGTTAGAATTTTCCAAAGTAATAATCAAAAGTGTAACTTAATATTTGTGTTGGCTGGGAGATTGAACACTTGTTGTTAATTGCTCTTTCATATATTTGTTTTGCTTTGTTTGTCGGGACAGAGTTTTTGTGTGTATCCCTGGCTGTCCTGAACTAGCTCTGTAGACCAGGCTGACCTCAAACTTAGAGTTCAGCCTGCCTCTGCCTCTGGAGTGCTAAGGTTGAAGGCATGCACAACCACTGCCCAGCTCAATTTTGTCTTTTTGAAGTTCCCGGTATGTTAACTAATTCTCAAATATTTGCCTTATTGCCTCTGCAGGTTTGATAATGGGCTGCATTAAAAGTAAAGAAAACAAAAGTCCATCCATTAAATATACACCGGAAAACCCTCCAGAGCCTGTAAGCACAAGTGCCAGTCATTATGGAACGGAACACACTACAGTTGCCCCAACCTCTTCCACAAAGGGAACATCTGTCAATTTTAACAGTCTTTCCATGACACCATTTGGAGGGTCGTCTGGAGTGACTCCTTTTGGAGGAGCATCTTCCTCATTCTCAGCGGTGCCAAGTCCATATCCTACAGGTTTAACAGGTGAGATTTAAATTGTCAGTTGCAGAAAATATAACCTTGGACTTTACATACTTCAGGTATGACCACTGTTAGGAAAAATTTCTTATTAGCAGATTTTCAAAAAAGTTGGATGAGCAAATAAAGCCTTTAACAAAAGGCAGTCTGACTGTGTAGCCGCATTACTCTCAATGTTTTTGGGTTTGTCTTTCTTTTTTTTTTCTTCCCTTTCCTTTCCTTTTTCCTTTCCTTTTTCCTTTCCTTTTTCCTTTCCTTTCCTTCTTTCCTTTTAAGCTGAGGATCAAAAGCAAGGCCTCCAACAAAACATGCTAGGCTAAAACAGAGCTGTATCTCCAGCTTTGAAGTTTTAATATATACATGATAGGGTTCTGGGAAGTTTGATGATAACTAACAGTGATTATTTACTGAATTATACCATAAATTGTTTCATTAACTCATTAAGTAATTGTGGCAGATACTGGAAATACAAAGATTTAAAAATATCCTTCCTTCTCTACCCCAGCAATTAGTTAGCATTTTAGGACTGGAAAATGCTGTATTATTTATTTAATAAATGTTAATTATATGTCAGTTTAGTAACAATAGCACACTATTTATTAGATACTGAGTTTATTGTATTTATTTATTTTGTGTTTGTGCTCTTACATGCTATATAGTGCACATTTGAAAGTCAGGACAGTTTGCAGGAGTCAGTTCTCTCATTTCACCATATTGGTTATGGGAATTGAACTGAGATCATCAGTGTTGGCAGCAGACAGCCTTATTAGCTGAGTCATCTTGCTGTGCACTGCGGCCCCGGTCTGCGCTCTAGACCCCAGTTCGTGAGCTTCGGGAAAGGGGTCTGGAGGTTGAGAATACAGACATAGAGACAGACCGACATGCAGACCTTTTAACACTGGTACCAAAAGCCCCCCTTTAATTAACACCATGTAGGCTTAAATACACGGCAGTCAATGGCCAACAGGTGATAATCCCATCCTCTGAGCCTCTAAGCTAGGCACAGCTTCTAGTAACTTCAATTAGAAGGTTCTAGCAGGGTAGAAAGCCAGGACTCAATTAGTCCCAACATCCAGCTGAAGGCCAGGACTTAATTGGTCCCAACACAATCTTACTGGCCCAGGTACTGATTTTAAGAAGGAAAATTCTGAAGCCAATGTTCAAATTGTTTTCCTTCAGAGTGACAGTTGATAAGATAAGCAACAGATTTAGTACTCTAGTCCAAAACTCCATTTATTACATTGTTACTGCCTTTCAGGGGATGGCAAGAAATGATAGTTGACAATCTTGCCACAGAATCAGGTAGTCTTAAAGTGTAGATTTCAAAAAGAAAGAAAATAGCTCTTTTGCTCAAAGCCCCACATGAGGATGCTTTTCTCTTAAAATGACAAAGCACAACTGTCTTAAAAAAAGGGTGAGTTCCAGGATTCCCTGATGTGAAAGTTCCATGATGTCAGCAAAGCATGGTGTTACTAATCTTTGGAGTGCCCACCCTAACCTTGGGTGTAAACAGGTGCCAAGGACAAATGGAATGGCTCATGACCTTATTAATAATCAGTGGATACAAAAAGTAGAAATCTCTTCTACAAGCATGGCCTGTATATGCATTTGCCTTCCTCATTCTGCTCATTTCTGGACCAGTAGAAGTAGCCAGAGGTCTGTAACACCCTAGATCTATTAGCATGTGGACAATGCTAGATATTATTGATCACAGTTCTAATTTCAGCCACCTAGTGACCAGGGTGCTATTTCTGATAGTTAACACAAGCCTTGACATTACTTGGGAAAGGTAGTGATTAAAAACGGCTAGAGTAAATAAATGTTGATACAAAAAGGCATTTCTTTAGTTACTTAAAAAATTTTTTAAAAATCACTATTTTTATTTGTTGCAAATTATGTGCATGCATACAATATATTTTGATTCTTTTCACCTCCCACAATCCTCCCTCCAACTCTTCGCAGATCTACTTTCAATACTTAAAGCAATTTACTTATTTGAAATATTCCATTTATGGGTGTTCATATAATAACAAAAAAAGGGGGGGACCAGAATGTCCTATATAAGATATAGAGAGGTGAGCAATATAAACAAAGCTTCTGTACCTAGTTAAGTTTATATTATAATGATTGAATAATAATTAGTTAATAAACAGCTAAAGAGAGTGATTAGTAGTGTTTAAGTATTTGAAGGCAAAAACAAGATGATTGATGGATGAAGGCCCTATAGTTGCCAAAGAAAGCCACCTTGGGAAGAAATCACTTGAACTGATACTTAGTTGATAGATATGATCTATTTGTAGAGCTCAGGAAAGAACAAGCAAAATAACAAAATTAGCAAACACAAAGTTCAAGAAATACAAATGCACTTAGAACTTTTGAAGACCAAAGAACATAAATGGGAGAATTGTAGTAGACTAAACAGTTGGACAGGACACTGTAATTGCTTAGGACCATAGACTGTAGGAAAGGGCTTGAGTGTTATTCAAAGCTAGAAAGAAGCTTTGAGATTTAAGTAAGAGAATTTGCTTGTTGGGTTTCCTCTTTAAAAATACTCTAGGGACTGTAGAGATGGATCAGCAGTTTAGAACACTAGATGTTCTTACAGAGGAACTGGGTTTGGTTCCGAGCATCCATATCAGTCCTCTAGCAACTACCTGTAACTCCAGTTCAACACCGTCCTCTGGCCTCCTCAGACACCTGTACATACATGGCTTACACGCATAAACACATACACTTAAATGAAAATAAAACTTGAAAAGTAATTAAAACTGACTCTAGTAGCTGTGTGAAGAATGGGTGATAGTAAAGCAGAGTAGAAGTAAGTTAGGAAGGTAATTTCTGGTGCCAGCTTTCCTAGTGAGAGGTGGCACCACAGTAAAATGAGAAATAGGTAAATTATCTATGTTAGAACTAGAACTAACAGTCCCAACCATATCACACTCCCTTTTGCTTAGAGAGAGGAGACTTGAACAAATGCAGATTAAAGAAGAAAAATCAAGAGCTTCATTCATTTGTTTATAATAAATTTTGAGTACTTACTAGACAGTGAAGTAGAGACACCAAATAAGCAAGTGGATTGATGACTTAGAATGAGCTGATGCTATGTATGAACATGTTCTTATACCTTTGCTTTTCTTCTGCTTTGTATTTAGAGGCAGTAAGTTTTATTTTTCCATGTCACAGTATTTGCATTTATCACTCATTTGTAGTTTTACTACCTACCTTTTCCCTCTCCCATTAAAAAAAAAAGATGGATAAATAATAATGGATGCAGCAAACCAATTGGACTATACTAGATAGAGATGATAAATAATTGAATTAAGACTATATTGGTCAACCGGATGTGGTGGCACAACATCTTTAACTCCAGCACTCAGGAGGCAGAGGCAGGCAGATCTCTTATGAGTTGGATGCCAGCCTGGTCCATAGAGTGAGGCCTTGTCTCAAAAAGAATATGTTCCTCAGAGGTCTGATCTTGCATGTAGGAGACTAAGGATTTGATCCTCTCACACCCTTTTTGGAAAAGAGTTGGTAAAAAAAAAAAAAAATTCAGTAGGAATAAGATCAAGAATTCCATTGTACAACCTTGTAACTACTCTGCTTAGTAACAACAAATTGTATTGAAAATTGGTTAAAGTAGATTTTAAGTTTCTTGCCAAAAAAAGATGAATAATGTGACTTGATTTAACCATTGCATAATTTGCATGTGTTTCAAAATCTTTTATTATTCTTGATAAATATATACATCTATAAAAATGATATAATAGACTTTTAAAACTAGAATGCCTTCCTTTAAATATTTTAAACACTGCATTGTCATTTTATATATATATGTTCTGTTATTCTATTTGCACATAATATATCAGATATTAAATGTGTTCATCTTTTAAATATATTAATACATTACTAAATCTGGTAACTTTTTTTGAATTTATACTGTACAATTCATATTGGCCATACACTTAACTTTCAGGACAAATATGATATTTTTATTTTTAAGTATAAAGTGAGCTTTAAGAAAACCTTAATGATTGCTTTTAATGGATTTAGATGGAAGTGCTTTCATGTTAAGGAATTGAAGACAGGGGCATGTAGTTTGTGTGCTTTCCGTCCCAAAGAATTGATCTGCAATGTGGCTTCCTTTTCGAACCAGACATGTTGCTTCAGAAGTGAAATTACGTTTATTTCAGAGTTTATAGGATTTTAGAATTTATACAGTTTCACAGGAATGGTGAAATGAGAACTTTTTATTAAAACCCAGCTTCTAAAAAAATACTAGAGGAAGATGGAAACTGAACCTAAACTTTTACCAGCAATAATTGTTTATTTCTTTCATTGTATTCAGGTACATCATTTACCTTGGTCTTTTTTTCCTGTGCCAGGTGGTGTCACTATATTTGTGGCCTTATATGATTATGAAGCTAGAACTACAGAAGACCTTTCCTTTAAGAAGGGTGAAAGATTTCAAATAATTAACAATACGTAAGTTTTGTGTAAATTTTGTAAAAGAGGAACCTGGTCTCTACATGGACCACTGATGGAGTTGATGATATGAAAATGAGAGTGGTGGGGTATGGATCTTTGTTTCGGGTTAGATGATGCCTTTGATTACATTGGATAATATATTGCTACCAGCAGAAGTTACTACTTTGCAAATTGTACTTAGGGTTAATCTGTGAACACAGATTTTAAAAGAAAGAATTCTAGGTGTGGTGGCACATACCTGTAATCCCAGCACTAGAGAAGATCTTGAGTATGAAGCTAGCCTAAGTTGCATAGTGAGTTCCAGGTAAACATGGGCTATATACTTAATGAGTTCCTGTCTCCAGAAATGATGCCCTTTATAAAAAGATCTTTAGAAAGTAAAATCTGTATTTATATAAATACCAGATGACTTTACAACCATATGTGTTGGGGATGGGAGAGGTGGATACAGAACCCCTGTACTCTGAAACTTACCAAATTGCGTTTTTCTTAGTTACTCTTAGACTTTGTCATTTAGCAGTCTGCCATAGAAAATTTGATGCTTGTTATGCTGCGGATTTCCTAATTTCATTAGTAAACATAACAACCACCTTGTAACTTCTCAAAGCATGTACTAATGGTCTTGCTTCTTGTCATGTTTCCCTCTGTCCTCATTTTACCATATGTTATCACTTCCTGTTCCAGAACATAAACTGTGGTTGTGTCTCTCTGCCTTAAGATCCTTCAGTAGCTAACGATAGTTACAAAGATTTAAAAAGAGCAACAGCAACAACAATAATCATCATCCATCAAAACTTTGCCCTGTATTTCTATACTTTTCTCATTCTGCTACCCAACAATATAATTGCAATATTTGGAGTACAATAGTTTCTCACCCTCTTCTTGCCTTCATACATACTATTTCTTTTTCTGGAATAACTTTTGGTCTGTTTCTTTTTTTGTGGGGTGGGAAGGGTGCTTGTTTGAGAGGGGGATAGAATCCTGAGCCTCAAGCATGCAAATTCTGTGCTATGTCACTAAACTATACTTGATTACTTGCTTCTTTTCCCTTTCGAGTTAGCTTTCCTCATCCTTTAAAAGGTATTTCCTATGTCCTTTTCAGTGGTTCATCTCCTTGTCTTCTTCCTCTCCTGCCTGGCTCAGTTCGCACACCTTACTCTATGAATGTTTCTCTTAGGTGTTTGCATGATGTTCTACAAACCTCAGTCATGGCTATCATCATATTGCAAATTACAATTTTTAATTTAGCCTATCATTTTTTTCTTTTGATTTTTTTCAAGACAGGGTCTCTCTGTGATAGCTTTGGAGCCTGTCCTGGAACTCACTCTGAAGACCAGGCTGGCCTTGAACTCTCAGGGATGCCTGCCTCTGCCTCCTGAGTGCTGAGATTAAAGGTGTGCACCACCATTGCCGGGCTGATTTCTCATTCTTTTAGACCAATGATTCTCAGCTTGGGGCAGAATCACACAGAAGGTATTTAGCAGTGTCTGGAGATATTTTTGTTTGTCACAGTCAGGGAGAGTGTGGCAACTGTCATCTTGTACCTGCTAGGGATATTAGTAAAATTATGCTATGTACATGACAAAAGATTCATCAAATATGAAGTGTCAGAGTGTTAGTACCATTATAATTGCTGTCCCTGCTCCAGAATCAGTTCTTGACCTTACGGACTGCTGTTTGTCTTACACTTAGTGACGCTCAGTGAATGACTCAGGGAATTCTTAGGAAGGTCAAATACAAAGTTTTAATAAGAAAGAATCATCACAGGTTCTAGGCCAACTAGGGCTACATAGTAAGACTTTGTGTGTGTGTGTGTGTGTGTGTGTGTGTGTGTGTGTGTGTGTGTGTATGAGAAAAAGATTTAATCTATTCTAGGGCTCCACTAATCAATGTATTTGTTTGCAAATAGTTAAATTATCAAAAGTTTTCTTAATTTATTCTTTAGAGATTAAATTCACTTTGAACATTTATAAAAGTTTCAGTTCAGACAATACATGTAATCTTCAGTAGTGAATCTCTCACACACACACATCTTTTTAGAGATACTTTCATAGGAATTTTGGAAAAGCCAAGGTTAATATATATTCTAAACAATATGCAGCCTCATATTTTGAAATATAATATTAGTTTTGCTGATGTTTGGATATCAGTTTTTGAATAACATTTTAGAACCATACGTGTTTGTTTTACTTGAATCAGGTCTTGCTATATGGCCCAGTCTGACTTTGAATTCACTGTTCTGCCCCCACCTCCTGGGTGCTGGATCATAGGCTTATGCCACCACCACTAGAACTTCAGCTTTTTTTTAAAGAAATAGTTTTGCCTATTGTGAGAGAGACAGGCAAAGAAATATTTTTGTTCATTGGGAGAGAGACAGACAAAGGAATAGTTGTACTTATTGTGAGAGAAACACTCCACACAGTGTGGGCATGTACATGTATCATGGCATGTGTATGGAGGTCAGAAGACAACTTTTAGAAATAGGTTCTCTGTCGTTCTCTCCCCCAGCCCTGTAGGATTGGGGATCACTTAGGTTTTTAGATTTGGCAACAAGTGCCTTTACCCACTAAGCCATTTCACCACCTCCAGAAATTCAACTTTGATTGTCAAGTTTGCGTATAAGAATAGTAAGACCTTTGAGGTGACTTTTATAAATGTTAGAATTTTATTTCTTATTAAAATAAAAATAATTCTTATTAAAATAAAGCATTTGGTATCAAGAACAAAAAAATTAGCATGACATAGACTAAAATGTAGGTGTACCTTAATATGATATGTGTGTAGGCACATATATGGAGCCTAGAGGACAACTTGGTGTAGTTGATTCTCCCCTTCCTCTTTTACACTGACTCTGGGCATTGAATTTAGGTCATTAGCTTGCGTGGCAAGCGCCTTCACCTGCTGAACTATCTTACCAGCCCAGTGTTTTTATGATGGCAAAATGTTCTAAAATGTATTATTTTGATGACTTTCCAATTCTGAATATATTAAAGTCCTTAAATGTTATCTTTTAAATGTGAGAGGTGTATATAGCATACAAATAAAATCTTAAACTTCTAAAATTTTATTTAAAATTTAGTAATAAAAATAAAATTTTTATTCAGCATAGTTTATTAGCCTTAGTTGAAAGAATTCACATGAAAAGGGTAAGTAGAATTCAAGTGTACAGTATTTAAGGGTTTTCTGTTATTACTGTTGGTTTACAGCAACAGTTGTGCTTTTGCGTGGTCTTAATTCCCTTATTCGTCTAACCAGCTTTTAAAAATAGTGTTTTTTAAGCTCAGCTCTTTGTGTATTAATCCAAGAAAAACTCCAGATTAAATATGGAAGTGATTTCTGTTATTTGCATGAGATAAGAATTATACCTTGGGTAAGTGTCTGCATTATAGTGATTGTTGTTTTTTGTGTTGCAGGGAAGGAGACTGGTGGGAAGCAAGATCAATTGCTACCGGAAAGAATGGTTATATCCCTAGCAATTATGTAGCACCTGCAGATTCCATTCAGGCAGAAGAGTATGATGCTACTTCATATTTTATTAATTAATGCACATTCTTCTTAACACAACTTACACACTATTATATTCTAGTCTTAATATAGCTAATGTATCTTATTAATAAGTGCTTTTAAGAATGATTAATATATCTACTCAGACACACAATAAGCAAATCTTATTAATCATTTTACATTGTATTCTCTTTCCTTTATTTTCCCGTTTATTTTTAAAACTCATATTTTTGCACTCCATAGGCCAGAATGATGCATTTTTGATGCTTGCTTGTTTTTACTGATACAAATCATCACATCAGTGTTCTTTTTCTACTATGACTCTTTTTTACTTTGTTTGCTTCTTTGTCTTCAGTATTCTGTGAACTTTTCCACAGTAATAACTGTCATTTTTTTTTTTGTCACTAAGCTTTATTAAATCAAACCCATGCATATTTGGAGTTTCCTATGATTTTGGTATGATCTGCTTGCAGCATTTTACTGAATACAGGTGATCATATTTGTTTCTAAAGAATTAATTCACCTCACTAACATATTTTTCTGTTTGTGTTTTTGTCTTTCCTTCTCTATTTACTGATTTTCTCGTTGGTAAGGGGAATTTAGAGACCTGGGGAGAGTAGTTAGTACATGGAAAAACTGTTAGAGCATGTTTCCAGTTTTGTTTGTTTGTTTTGCTTTTTGATTATTTGTTTTTTCATTTTTTGAGACAGGGTTTCTCTTTTTAGCCCTGGCTGTCCTGAAACTCGCTTTGTAGACCAGGCTAGACTCACAGAGATCTGTCTGCATCTGCCTCCTGAATGCTGGGATTAAAGGCATTCACCACTACTGCCTGGGTCACAGTTAATATTTTTATACTTGAGCTAACATTAATACTTTGTTTGCTTATTTCTTTTTCAAGACAGGGTTTCTCTGTGTAGCCCTGACTGTCCTGGAACTCACTCTGAAGGTCAGGCTGCCATCAAACTCACAGAGATCCTCCTGTATCTGCCTGGAATTAGGGGAGTGCGCTACCGCTGCCAGGCTATTGCACTCCATTCTTATTGATACATGTATGTAATTTTTTTGATCCTCATACCTTTTATCTCAGAACATCATTAATTTCTTTTTCAGATGGTATTTTGGAAAAATGGGGAGAAAAGATGCTGAAAGATTACTTCTGAATCCTGGGAATCAGCGAGGTATATTCTTAGTCAGAGAAAGTGAAACCACTAAAGGTATGAATATTTTATTAATATGTGCACAACATGCATTAGGCATAGGTTGAGGAAGCTGGAGTGAACATGTTCCTCTCCCCCCAGGCGCCTATTCCCTCTCTATTCGTGACTGGGATGAGGTTAGGGGTGACAATGTGAAGCATTACAAAATCAGGAAACTTGACAACGGTGGATACTACATCACGACCAGAGCTCCGTTTGATACTTTGCAGAAACTGGTGAAGCACTACACAGGTAGGTGAGCACTTCAGGGGTAGGAATTAATTCCTTACATTCTATTTTGTGAGGACAATTCTTTATCTTTCTTAAGCTTTAATATGCTCATTTATATTTACACACAGTCAGTCACCAATAGATGTTGATGTTCTGGGTTAAATTTTTTTGGAAAAGTATTTATTTAGTGTTCGTGCATGTTAATGTGTGTATGTGCACACTCATGCTATGATGCTATGATACATGGTGTGAAGGTCAGGGAACAACTTAGGGACTCACTTCTCTTTTCATATCTTCTGGGTCCTGGAGATGAAATTTAAGCTGTCAGGGTTGGCCACAAGTACCAGCTGAGCCATCTTGCTGGTGCTGTGCTCTAGTTGCAAATGAGGAACAAGAGTCACATGTGGCCCAGGTAACATAGCAGGACCATGAATTGAGCTATTGGATAACATGCTCAAATCAGGCTGTAATTGGAATCCTTACTCCTTATTGGCAAAGTGTTTGCATTGGAGTTCTAGATCATAATGTATAAATGCTAAGATTGATTGTGATAATAAATTATAGAACATGACAGCAAATATTTATGTATATTAAATAGCTAAAATTAAACTTGTAATATAAAAAAGCTATCTCGGAGCTAAGATTATAGCTTGGTGGTAAAGTGCTTACTAGCATGTGCCGTGTTTCCCTCCCCAGCACTGCAAAAAAGAAAAGGAAAGGAATAGAGTCAAAAGCTCTCAGATATCTTTATTGATTTTATTCTGTAGAAGCTGAATCTTTGAAGGCTTTCTAAAATAAAAACCCTACAAAATCCAGTTTGAACATGCTATTTCTTTCTTTTTGGTGTTTGAAACAGGGTTTCTCTGTGTAGCCTTGGCTGGCCTGGAACTCACTTTGTAGTAAACCAGGCTGGCCTTGAACTCACATAGCTCCACCTGCCTCTGCCTCCTGAATTCTGGGATTAAAGGTGTGCACCAACACTGCCCAGCTGAAGGTGTTATTTCATATCCAAGCAAATGAACATATAGGAAATATAGACATTTTTGTCTTTTCAAGGACCTTTGAAAAGTATTCTGTTTTGCGGTCTTGTGTCTTTGGAGCCTGTCCGAGAACTAGCTCTTATAGGCCAGGTTAGCCTTGAACTCACAGAGATCCACCTGCCTCTGCCTCCTGAAGGCTGGGATTAAAGGCATGTGCCACCACTGCCTGGCCACTTGTATATACTTCTTATAGAAAGCTTCTTGTTGTATATGTAGCTTTAGAGTAAAGCTGATAGGAGCTGATCAGAGGTTTTAATTCAATAATTTAAGCTTTTTTAAGAAACCAAATAATAAGCCAGGTATGGTGGCATACCCTTTAATCCTAGAAGAAGAGAAATCACTAAGTTCAAAGCCAGTTTGGTCTACATAGTAAGTTCCAAGCTAGTCAGGACCACCTACTAAGATCTTGTCTTAAAAACTAATTAAATAATCAATTATGTGTGTATGTATATTTGTGCATATATGTAAATATATACACATATGTATATACACACACTAATTGTCTTAACTTTGAAAGTAATTCATTTACCGTGTACCCTGTTCATTTATCTAGAACATGCTGATGGTTTATGTCACAAGTTAACAACTGTGTGTCCAACTGTGAAACCCCAGACTCAAGGTCTAGCAAAAGATGCTTGGGAAATCCCTCGAGAATCTTTGCGACTGGAGGTTAAACTGGGTCAAGGATGCTTTGGTGAAGTGTGGATGGGTAAGAAACCTGAGCTTTGTTGTTACTTCATTTGGTTATTGTGAAACCATAAATTAAAATAGCAAAATATGATAAAATATGTATAGTATGTATTTAATTATATGTTGGATAACTGCTATTGTTGATTGAATTTTGGTCTAAAATCCCTTGAAATACAGACTCAGATACAGAAATACAGATACTGAAAGAGTAAAATAAATTGCTTTCCTAGGAACATGGAATGGAACCACAAAGGTAGCAATCAAAACCCTAAAGCCAGGTACAATGATGCCAGAAGCTTTCCTTCAAGAAGCTCAAATAATGAAAAAATTAAGACATGATAAACTTGTTCCATTGTATGCAGTTGTTTCCGAAGAGCCAATTTATATTGTCACTGAGTTTATGGCAAAAGGTATGTACATATGAGTTGTGTTTTACATGGTTCTATTGCAATTAAACAACTTTATTTCTGTTCTTTCTTAGATTAAAAAAAAAATCATACAATATATTTTGCTCATATTCTTTCCCAGATACCCACTCAGCCCAGTCAGCCACCCAACTTTATATTCTTTCTCTTAAAAAAACAAGAAAAAAGAAAACGCAAAAAATATCCAAAACAAAATTAAAACAAGACCATGGAGTCTGTTTTTTGTTGGCCAGTTATTCCTGGGCATGCAGCCTTCCTTGGGGTGTGGTTGATATACCCATTGTCTCTCCGTTGGAAAACAAACAAACAAAAAAGAACAACAACTGATTTTTCCCTTTCCCTGAAGCTGTCAGTTGCGAATAGGGTCTTGGTAAGGAGTTGGATTTTGTGCCCACTTGCCCTTCTCTTTGTTGGGAACTTGTCTGGTTTGAACTTGTGTCATAGTCTTTGGGAGTTCACATGTGCATCAGACCTGCTGTGTCTGGAAAACACTGTTATTGTGGAGTCATCCGCCACCTCTGGCTCTCACATAGATCTCTGAGCCTTGAGGGGAGGGCTTTGATAATAATTAGGGTGTGATCCCATTTAGACCTCAGTGTTTCAGTCTCTTACTCTCTATTTTGTCTAGTTGTGATCCATCTACTGCAAGAAGTCTTCTCTCTGGTGAGACTCAGTGATACACTTTTCTGTGTGGGTATAGCAGTATGTTGGTAGGAGTCCTTTTGCTTTGTTCATTTAACACAATAATTGGAGATTTTCTCTGGGGTCTATGATCTACCTCTCAGAGGTATGGGTTCCATCTCAAGAAGTGGGCTTTTTAAGTCCAGCCAGAAGATGGATGGTTACTCCTCTAACAGTCATGCCCCATTGCACCAGGGAGTATACCTGGCAGGCTGATTGCTAATGTAGCTCACAGAATACACGTTTGTCCTTTAAAATTATGTTTATTTACATATTTTGCATGCATATATGTATGGGTGACATGACACATATGTGAAGGTCAAAGTATAGCTTGACGGAGTCGACCGTTTTCTTCTACCATTCAGGTCTTGGGGATTAAACTCAGGTTACCAGTCTTGGCAGCAGACATCTTTCTTTACCCACTGAGCCCTCTTGCAGGCCCTCTATACATACAGATTTTTGTCATAGTACTTTCTAACTTAAGATTTTTTTCTGTAGACTTTTAAAAGAGGAAATGTTAGTTTGTTTTTTTTTTTTAATGGAATAGTGGTTTTTTTTCCAGTTCTCCCAGAGGACCTTATGAAACTATAAAGGAAAATTAGAGTGCATCTTTTGAAAGTAGATTTAAGTAAAGGAAATGTAATTGCTAGGGGAGTCAAAAAGTAGACAAATTGAATTAAAGTGTTAAACTGTAGCACTAAGGCAAAGATATTGAAGGGAATCATTTTTTATCTCATTTTACATAAACACAGTTCTTAACACACTGGACTTGCAGAGGCTGTTCTCCCTTACTGTCAATTGAAATTTCTCATCCTTCCCACCTTATAAGAGCACAGGTGAGCTCTTATTTAACGCTGGCTGGCGTTTTAGAGTCAGGGGCAAAACTAGGCAAGGTTGATGCTCTTCCCTCTTTATATCTATGCTAATGATGCTGTAGAAGAGGAGCCAGTAAGTGATTAAATGATGCTGATTAGTCTGAATCTACCTATTTTTAATTGGATCTATTTTAAAATTTTTATTTTTGTACTATGTTTTGTTGTTGTTTGTTTTTGTTTTTTTGAGACAGGGTTCTCTGTGTAACCCTGGCTGTCAAGGAACTCAGTCTGTAGATCAGGTTGGCCTTGAACTCAGAGATCCACCTGCCTTTACTTCCCAAGTGCTCCAATTAAAAGCATGTACCACCACTGCCTGACTTACTTTTATTTTTTTGAATCAGACTAATTAAGTTACTATTATGTCAACTTCTCTAGTAGTTCATGTTGGCTGATAATGTAGTTCCTACTAATGGTGATAGAGAAACAAAAATCTCTCTAAAAGGACTACAGGAGGAAGAAAAATCTCTCTAAAAGGACTAAAACCAATAACCTATTAATTGATAGCTAAAATATACCTAAAGTTCCAAAGTATATGTCTTCTTTGGAAGGCATTTAGGCTGCAAACAACTGCTGCCTATGACATTTGAATGAGTGCATTAAATGAATTAGAAGGGGAAGTGAGAAAAGGAAAAGAAAGAAATTTAAATCAAGATATTGGTAGCATGAAAAAAACAAATGGAGGTAAGACTAATGGAGCATCCATATAGTTCAATATAGCAGTCTTTTAAAATGTAGAGAAAATGCTAGAATTCCGTGTTGTTACATAATTTGGTTAAGATTATTTCTAGGCGAGAGATTTCAAATATAAAATAATAAAAGTTTCTGGGTTTAAAATACAATAATTCCTCAGTCATTAATATTTAGTTGCTTAACAGTAAACCTTGTTTGTCCTTTAAAACTTATTGTCTCATGTGCTTTATAAGAAACCTATTGTTGCAAACAGATTTTCTTGTTGTTCTTAATTTCCATATGTGGTTTTTTTCCTACTGTTGTGCTGACAACCAAGCCCAGGGTCTTGTACATTCTAAGAACACACTCTGCCACTGAGCTTTGTTGGCCCCAGCCCTGCACATGAGTTTTCATATTATTCTCATCCTTCAGAATTTGTTTCTTATATTTATGGGGTCCCACTGTGAACCCCAGCGCAGAATTGAGCCAACCGCCCGCACGACTGGCCCCGGCGGGGGCGGGGCGTGTGTTCACAGCTCATAAGTCGGATCTCCCCCCTTGCTCCCCTTCAGCACTATCTTGGCTGGGAGTATTCTTCACCGGCTTTGCGATGTCACCTTTTTTGAATTTTGCACCTTTTTCTAACTGTCACGCTTTTGGCGTAGCTGTCAGGTTCTAGGCGCCAACTGCGCCTTTTTTAAACTGTCACTTTTTTTGTGTGCTAACTTGGCCACTCCAGCCTTCTATATGCTCATGCTCGATTCAACCCACATCTGTCTTTACCAGTTCTACCAATTATATTTTCTTGATCTAGTGTAGAATCCATGGTCAAGCCCAGCATTCAATTGCCATCTCTTTTGTGTCTTTTAATCTGAAATTCTCAGCCTTTCTTATGAAAATGAGTATTTTTGTTGTTTTGTTTTTATAAAAATGTTTCTTGTTTTGGGTTTATCTGATGTTGTATGCTTTTAACTCATAGTAGAGAGAGAATAACCAGACCTCCCTTTTAACCTTCCACTTTGCTGAATTCATCATACTTTACTATGCCCCTAGTGCCGTCTCCTGACACCAGGAGCTATTCATCACACCATCGTGAGCTGCTTGTAATTGTAACTACTCCATGACATTCTCAGTTGGCTGTATACTAGACTCAAACTGACTTTTAAAATATATAGCTGTCTTTTTTTTTGTCACAGAATCTTGATCAAAGTGTGTGGGGGCAATGACTAAAGTGGTGATGTTTTCTGTCAGAATGGGAAGTGGTACTTTGTCCCTTTAAAATCTGTAATCAAGAGAAGTTTTAAACTTTCAGTTTGAGGCTCCCCTGGAGTCTTTGATACTTCCAAAAGTGTCCAAAATACATTAAAAAAAAAAAAACTGAGAAGTTTTTCTGGTTTGATGATTTGTTTAAGGTATTGAAGACTATTTGTTTCTATTTTAAAGTAATGTTCACATTTTCCCCCGGATACCTTTCTGTCTCTTACAGGGAGCTTGTTAGATTTCCTTAAAGAAGGAGATGGAAAATATTTGAAACTTCCACAGCTGGTCGATATGGCTGCTCAGGTAGTTGCATATATATGTATCAATTTGAATTAAAAGCATATGTTTAAAATGCAGAAAAATCTTAGCATAATATTAAAATTTGTGCAGTGAAATACTGCAGTTTTAGAAGAAGAGAGAAGGTTAGAGGTAGTTCAGTGTGAGCCCTTAAGTATACTGCAGCTCTTCTGGTTGCCCAGTATCATACGACCTTTGACATAGAGCTTCCACAAATACAAAGTCTGTATTTACATTTCAGCAGATAAATTTAAGAAAATTAAGACAGGCTGAGTGATGGTAGCACATGCTTTTAATAGCAGCACTCAGGGCGTAGAGGTGGGTGTTTGAGTTCCAGGATAGCCAGGACTACATAGAGAAACCCTGTCTCAAATAAATAAATGAATGAATGAATGAATGAATGAATGAATGAATGAATGAATGAATGAATAAATGAATAAATAGAAAAAATTAAGATGGATATGTGTTATTCCAAAATTTAAAACCTGAAAGTATATGCTATTTTTTTGTTTGTCTAAAATAAGTTTATGTGCTTGCTTCTGTGGCTCTTACCTGTTAGTGAAAGTCATTTGATAATGCCAGCAAATTTCAGAGGAGACAGGAATATGCCAGACTCTTAGGGACTTTCTTTTGGAAAAATGGCAAGCCTTTTTAATAAGATAGATAAATGGCATGGGCTTTGTGAGCTACATACAAACCCTATTGGGCCTCATTAGTTATACAGCCCTTTAAATGTAAAAGCCATTTTTTTTTAACACTTCTCAAGTCATATGAAAACAGGCTGTGGGTACATCTGACTTACAAGCTATAGTTTGTTCATACTTCAGGACCTTAGATTGTGTCTGGTATGGACTGTGTGAGGTTTTTGTCCAGAGACTCCAGACTCCATCCTCTTGTGATATTTTTCTTCTGACCATTGACAAGAAGACAATAGGACATTGTGCTGGTCATGTGACTGGATGTACTCTGGGCATAAAATATTGATCTTCAAAATATGTGTTGATTGATTTTTACTTGCAGTATTAGGGATGTAAAGATTAATCATTTTTTAAAAATTACAGTTTTGTTCTATTGTCTTCTGGATTGTGTCTGTTACTGTAATTTTTTTTGAGATACCTAATTTTCCAACAGTCCCTTTAACCAAAAGTATCCTCCCTTTGCATCATATATTTTGCATCTTTTTTTATATTTTGCATCTTGTTGTGCTTCCTCTCTTAAGATTGCTGATGGTATGGCGTATATTGAAAGAATGAACTATATTCACCGAGATCTCCGAGCTGCTAATATTCTTGTAGGAGAAAATCTTGTATGCAAAATAGCAGATTTTGGCTTAGCAAGATTAATTGAAGACAATGAGTACACAGCAAGACAAGGTAAAATAACATACATAGATGCTAATACCCTATGCTTGTTTTACTTAACACCCAGACCTTTATGCAATACCAATAATTCTAGTGGATAACGATGTTCCTGCCTACCTGGGCTGCCAAAGCACATCAGGGTAGGATGTGGATGCAAGAGCCTTTTGTGGGAAACAGGGCACAGCTAGACACTGCCTTTTTGCTCAGCATGTGACATGCATTTTCATGTGGACCTGGCATGAAACCATCGGTAGACTAAGTGCTTCTGTGTGAGCATTTCCCATGTACTCATGGAGCAAAGCTTCTCCATCTATGAAATCTGTTGGCGATCAACAGTATTTGGGGGGATAGGAGTTTAAGAAAATGGCTCAGCTGGTAAAAAACACTTGGAAAGCAAAGCCTGGTGGCCTGTTTGACCCCTGGAACCCATGTCATAAAGTTGGATGTCGTAGTCTGCACCCTTAATCCCAGCACTCCTGTAGGGAGACATGGAAAATGAAGGCAGAAGGCTCACTCAGAAGTTAGCAGGCCAGCTAACCAGGAGTAGGTAATACAGTAGCAAAAATGAGAGCCCCAGTCTTGACAAGGCACTTTTCGAGGTGGTAGTGGCACATACCTTTAATCCCAGCTCTTGGTAGGCAGAGGCAGGTGGGTCTTTGTGAGTTCAAGGCCAGCCTGATCTACAGAGCAAGTTCCAGGACTTGCTCCAAAGCTACAGTGAAACCCTGTCTTGGAAGAAAGAGAGAAA